ACACACACACACACACACACACACACACACACACACACACACACACACACACACACACACACACACAAGCACGCACACTTGCAACAAAGTAGTTTGCGTATTGTCATCCCCTTCCCCTATGCTCCGCACTGAATGATCTTTCTCTGGAAACGTATTCATTCTGCGTAACAGATTTGTTCTGACTGAATCGCTCTTTTTCAACTGCTAGACTTCTGATCCGCGGTTTCCTTTTGACGCTAACTAAATCCAGCCCGCACTATTTTGTTTCCGCTCCACATTGTGGACAGTTAAGCGGTGACAGATATATTTTCACGGAGTGCGTAGGAAGTTTTCAGTTGGGGTATTTATGAATTATGTGGTCCCTTAACGTTATTGTGTAACCACCGATACTTCTATATTTCAACCTCTTATGGTTCAGCGATGAATGACTAGTAACCTTTTCTGTTGTCCAGTCAACTCGGTTCCTAAGTTAATTGTTTTGGGTCGTCGAAATGAGGTGATCCTATTTCCGTCAGTCATCAATCTAAGCACTCCTAGTTTTTCAAACCGGTGCCATTATCGACTTAAAATTACTCAGCAGTAATACGAAAACTTTTTCGCAAAGAGAGAAACTGAAAAACGCTGTACAGCTATTTCGGTTTTGTTGGATTCTATTACTATCAACCCATTTTTGAATGCAACCTGGGACCTCACAGGCAGAATGCAAGCCTAATAACCTGGACACTGGGCGGCAGATCAGACCGTTTTTCGTTTTGCCCATACACGATATAGCACAACCATTCCTCAGACCCCAGCACTTTCCTCCTGGAAACATCCCGAAGCCGACTACTTGTTACAGGAGATTACTCGAGAATTTGGTTTGATTATATGGTGAATTTCGTCGCATGCAGAGCGAATGAAGCATGAACTGAAACGCTAGTTATTTCGGCTTTGCCGCGAATCCATCGATCCAGCTGAGAATCAGATCCGGGACTTCCCAGGCAGAATACATGTATAGTAATATCTCACACTCACTTTGTCTAGACACTAGACTACAAGTCACCTCCAAGCTTCGCTTATTAACTGCATCGATCTTTGTTTGTGACTAAGTGAAAATGAGTTTGGCTTAACCTATTCAGAGGCATCAGGAACTCTTGATGGTCGTGGTTGTGGGTTTCATTTTCTCGTTTGTTGAAATACTTGCAATGACCGACAAATAGCACTGGACAGCTGTTTCATACTGGTTGGGGCTCGTCAGCAATTCGTGTCCCAAATAAGACTGGAACCCCGCACCTTCTTGTTGGGAGCTACTGCTGAGGTACACGATCGACGGTCATCACCGTGTGCGAATTGAGTATCATGTTTGCTTCAGGATCGAAACATCGCCATGACTGTCCTTAAAATATTGTTCACTGAGGCCATCAACAGCCAGAAATTATGACAGTGCTCGACAACTGAGTATTAGGGCATCTTCGAAACAACTGAAGTACTTCCCAGTTCTTCAATTTGCGATTCCTTTGTTCTTTATCCTGCGAAACTCACAATTCGATGAAATCAAACTCGCCATTCCTCCTTGTGCGTAGATGGCAGTTTCGGAATTTTTCCGACCCTGAAGGCTGGTGCTGAGCACGAGCTTAGGTCGTTTGATGGACAAGTGCCACCGGAAAGACGAGTACTAAGGTGGCCAAACGCAAACCGAGAATGTACATCACAATTTTAGTACTTCAAACTTTCACTTGCATTACTCTGTTTCTCAATTACGACCTCTACATACCGTGCGCTTGCCCCAGGGCCCTCGTACAATATTTGAACAACCTCTGTAACTGCATCTTGGTACCTGAAATATGACACGCAATCTGCAACAAACTTCTTCCAATCATTGTAACCTTGGGTACCCTATTCGATCTGTTTAACAAACGTCTATTTTTTTAAATGCGGTACCTTCAGTTTTGTGATTGGTAAGACCACGTAAGTATGCACAACTATGCCAAAGGACAATTAGGAATCCCGGAAAGTACAAATTCTTCGCAAAATTTTAGTAACCAAGTTATGATAACACAGACATGTTCTGTTTGCCTTCTATGTTTTAACTAGAGTTTCGTTGAATGCACGCGAGAACTGCACACTTTATCTGATTCTGTACGGGCGAAATCCAGTCCCAGTTCAGACAGACTAGTACCTTAACGATACATGTTTTTCAAA